CAAGTTTCATCAGTATTGAAGCATTTTTCATAGTTTCATTGCGCAGTTTGAACTTGTTACAGGAGGCTTTTCAATGAAAACGGCCATTTTTTGCAATATTCTCATGGGGTAAAAGGTTAACTTTGACAAAACAAAATAAAAACTACAAGCAAAACCCCATGTGCATAATTTCACATGCTGAGCAAAATTTCTGTAAAGTTTCATGACTCTTGGTCAAAAACTTCTTTAACTAAGTTGAAAATTGCATTTTTTTACTAAGTCAAGGGCAATAACACTGCCAAGTTATTTAAAAAAATTTCATCTGTTTAAAAGTTATGGAGCGGACTTGAAAGTATTACAGAGGCAGGACAGGCAGACAGATGGAGGCCATTCCTAAAATCCCCTATCTGCTTTGCAGAAGGGTATTAATAAAGACTGTATGGGTTTTAGCACTGTTGATATTGACCCTACATCCAAAGGAAAAAGATTTCTCAATGTTCCTTCCAAATATAAACAAGAGCTGTCCGTAAGACAGCGCGCTCGACTTTTTTATTGCTTGCCAATAAAAAAAGTTTTTGCAGTAAAAGGCAATACAAGAATCTCTGTATTTTTAAAGTGAACAATGGCCATGAGCATTAAGATATTTAGTGAAGAATTATTTTACTGAATTGTGTGATACCCTTGAACACTGCAGCAAAGTTTGAAATGTTTAAGTCAAAAGAGGGCTGGTAAGATAAAATAACTAGTTGTTTGATACCCTTGAATATTACAGCAATGTTTATATGACATAATTTATGGTAAAGTGAACAAGTGGATAGGAATGAATTTTTTTAGATTTTTTAAGTTTTTTAGTGCTTGCCTATAATACAAAACATTGACAGTTAAGGGCCATAATTCAAATAAAATCTTTGACAGAATTACCTTCTCCTGGACATGTTTGGGAATCATGATTGTAAACAAGTATTCCAACTTTCAAATTAATATCTCAAACAGTTCAGTCAAAAAGTGGACTGGTACTAAAAACTTAACCAAGATTGTAAGTCGATAAAAGGCCTTAATTTTTAAAACAAATCCTTGACAGAGTTACCTTCTCTTGCGTACAGATGGGGGTAATGATGTGAAATAGCATTAAAAGTTTCAAAGCAATATCTCAAAGGGTTAAGGCAATAAGTGGATTTTACCCATATTCAATGTATTTTCTAAGTCAAAAAGGGGCATAATTCTGTCAAAAACCTTGACAGAGTTATGTCCTCTTGTCTGTTGATGAAGGTCGTGATGGTAAACAAGTATGGTCAGTTTCAAAGCAATACCTCCAATGGTTTTGAAATAAAGTGAGGTGGTACAAAAAACTTAACCAAGCTCAATACACTTTCTAAGTCAAAAAAGGGCCATAATTCTGTCAAAAACCTTGACAGAGTTATGTACTCTTGTCTGTAGATGGAGGTTATGATGGTGAACAAGTATGGTAAGTTTCAAAGCCATACTTGTAATACTTCTGAAATAAAGTGGGGTGGTACGAAAAACTTAACCAAGGTGTGACGCCAACGCCGACGCCGACGCCGGGGCGAGTAGGATAGCTCCCCTTTTCATAGAAAAGTCGAGCTAAAAAAAATCAGCAAATAGAAAAAAGTTACACACCTGCAAAATTGTGAAAATCTATTTTGACATGGGTGACCTTGATTCAAATGACCCCATAACTGAACCATAAGAAAAAGGACCTCCATAGGCATGTCCGTATTAAGCACTAAGTCATCAATTTAATAATAAGGGCTGTATGAGGAAATATGTTTGAATTAATTTTTTACAACAACGACCTTGACCAAATATGGAAGATATCATTATCGTGGACAAACCAGTTCTCAAGCATTCAGGAGGTCTTTTAGTGTAAATAAAAATATATCTTTATAAAAATTCTTTACATATATGTACACTTTACTCTTTATTAAACATTTCTGTAAAATTTGGCTGAAATTATACAATTAAAACAGCTCTATTTGCATGACCCTCTTCTGTAAAACTGACATGGCCTCTTGATATAAGGAACCTAATCTCAAACCTCTCCAAGAATCTATGAAATTCTACTGTTTCGTTTAGTCAATGAAGTGACAGTCAATTATGATTATCACTGACATTGAAGTACTCTACAGGATACAGGTACCTGCATTTAAGATTTTTTTTTTATATTCATTTTCACAATTAGTTAATGGTGTATCTATACAGGACTTTCAAAGGTAAAAGCAATTTGTATGAAATTACACTAAATAATAAAATATATACGGTAATGTCAATATCCTTTCCTATGCTATGTTTTCATGTAACAGCAGCAGACATGTCTGTCAGAAACCTAACATTTATGCACGCAAATTGATGACATCATAGATACTTCTAGAAAAAAATAAACAGCTCATGAAGAAGAGGTTGGGTGCGAGATTAGGTATTTATATGATAAATAAATGCCAAGTAAGTAAGAGAATAAATCCAGCTTGCAGGAATCAATTAAAAATACAACATCCTATTTTCAAAGTGGTAAAAATTGAAAGTAATGGGAACAAGAGCTGTCCGTAAGACAGCGCGCTCGACTTTTTTATTGCTTGCCAATAAAAAAAGTTTTTGCAGTAAAAGGCAATACAAGAATCTCTGTATTTTTAAAGTGAACAATGGCCATGAGCATTATATATAATGTATTTTCTAAGTCAAAAAGGGGCATAATTCTGTCAAAAACCTTGACAGAGTTATGTCCTCTTGTCTGTTAATGAAGGTCGTGATGGTAAACAAGTATGGTCAGTTTCAAAGCAATACCTCCAATGGTTTTGAAATAAAGTGAGGTGGTACAAAAAACTTAACCAAGCTCAATACACTTTCTAAGTCAAAAAAGGGCCATAATTCTGTCAAAAACCTTGACAGAGTTATGTACTCTTGTCTGTAGATGGAGGTTATGATGGTGAACAAGTATGGTAAGTTTCAAAGCCATACTTGTAATACTTCTGAAATAAAGTGGGGTGGTACGAAAAACTTAACCAAGGTGTGACGCCAACGCCGACGCCGACGCCGGGGCGAGTAGGATAGCTCCCCTTTTCATAGAAAAGTCGAGCTAAAAATGAATCGCATATTTATACAACTTGGCAATACTATGTACTGTGCATGGAAATTATGAAGCCACAAGAATTGATAGAAGTTTATTTATTTCAAGTTTGAACTGATCAGTTCAGAGTAAATGCCACCTTTTGCATGGGTAGAGTCACTCACTTGACATAAATTAACTCCATATTCATGTTAATTTTCATGAAAATTTTGGAAATATATTTAAAAGTAAAATATCAAGAAGTGAACAAATAAAGTTATTTACATATTACAATCCAAGACAAGAGCCAGTTGGACCGGGTGATGCTCCCCGAATAGGTTTTGGACACATGAAGGTATACCTCTTGTAGTGTCAGAGTTATGTCACAGACAAAGTTCAAAGTGTAAAAACAATCCAAATGTTGCGCATGATACATCGTCTCAATTATAATGGTGATCATTTCTGTGAAATAGTTGTTAAATCAGACTTCAAATAACGAAGTTATTGGTCGGACGCAATTTTGCTGCAAGGTCATGCTGTGACCTTAACCTTCAAGGTAGCGACCCAAATGTTGCGCACGACACATCGTCTCAATATGGTGATCATTTCTGTGAAACAGTTGTAAAATCCGATTTCAAATAAAGAAGTTATGGGCCGGACACGATTTTGCTGCAAGGTCATGCTGCGACCTTGACCTTCAAGGTAGCGACCCAAATTTTGCGCACCACACGTTGTCTCAATATCGTGATCATTTCTGTGAAATAGTTGTAAAATCCGACTTTAAATAACAAAGTTATGGGCCGAACACGATTTTGTTGCAAGGTCATTCTGTGACCTTGACCTTCAAGGTAGTGACCCAAATTTGCGGGCGACACGTCATCTCAATATCGTGATCATTTCTGTGAAATAGTTGTCAAATCCGATTTCAAATAACAAAGTTATGGGACAGACATGATTTTGCTGCAAGGTCATGCTGTGACCTTGACCTTCAAGGGAGCGACCCAAATATTGCGTGTGACACGTCATCTCAATATGGTGATCATTTATGTGAAACAATCAGGGTTCCCACTATTATTTAGGAGTGAAATTCCAGGTTTTTTCCAGGATTTTTTTTTAAATTCCAGGTTTTTCAATTTGAGAATTTCTGGTTTTTTCCAGACTTCCCACCAGTCCATAAAGGGTGAAAACATAATATGTCCCGTTTTTCAAACGGGCATATAAAAATATTGTTCATTTTACTTGCATGAATGACAAATCTTAATTGGCCTGTAGGAGTTTTGTCATTTTAATGAAAACAGTATATATTTACAACATTGGCATAAAACTATTAAACATGGATCAGTCATAACAAAACTTTAACTGTAAATGAGAAACGAGGCAATTATATTTGTATTAAATTTTCAGCAAAGTAATAACATATGTTTTAGCAGCACCACAAGAAAACCAACAAAGTACTTGTGTGACTAGCATGGATCCAGACAAGCTTGGCTATCCATGCAGTCACATCAGGATCCATGAAGTTTGCTTTCAGATCTTAAAAATGTTACACAAGCTTTAGGCAGACAGTATGGATCCTTATGAGACTGTGCAGATGTGAAGGATTCATCTGGATCCATGCTTGTCACAAACACACTTCGCTGGTTTTCTCATGGGGTGGCTCATATATATAACAAAAGATGTCATTTTTTGATGCCAGTCAGATCCAAATGTATAAGGTGTAATTTGTTTGGTGATTTTTTTTCCTATTCCTATTTCTCTGTCTCGCAACTGGCGCACTAGCGCAGACGACATATTTGCTGAATCAACTGAACGACTGTGCAGTAAATTCAAGGTAAATTCAAGTGCTCCGGCTTATTATTTTTTTGTTCGTTTTCACCGTTAATTTCTAGCGAGGTTTCAAAGCCATTACAGCATTTGCCGTATAAAAAGCTGAATTTGATTTGTAAAATGTTCAAACTACCAAGATAGCTTGTTAAAACCATCCTCGGGGGAAGAAAACATCAATAATCCAAACCAGGAAATGGACGTTGCTTCAGCGGCAGCCCTATTGTTCAATATCGATTACTTCCCTTAGCGGTACAGACTAAATCCCGGACTATTCCCTTTTACCGGACGGAGCAAATTCCCGGCGTTTTCACGACCGGGAGTCGCGATTTTGAAACTCACAGACTTTTCCCGTTTTCCCGGTAGCGTGGGAACCCTGAATAATTGTAAAATTTGACTTTAAATAACAAAGTTATGGGCGGAACATGAATTTGGGACATACGTACGGAAGGAAGGAATGATGGATGGATGGACAACCTGGCAACTATATGCTCTCCCGAAATTTTTCGGGGAGCATAAAAATTAGGGATGTCATTCGGAGTCCGGATATCTGAACGTTCGGATCATGTTTCGGTGTCCGGAGCCGATTTTCGGATCCGAATATTCGTATAAAATATTTCAGATTATTGAGAAAATGTGATAAATACATGCGTTGAGATAATCGACGTATACATGGTGTTGACACCATTTTGTATATTGTACCTTAGTTCGACAATGCACATTATAATCTCTGCAGACCACAAAAAATCAATAATTACTATAATAATTACGAGTCGGGTATGACACTTGTTGTTAATCTATATTAAACACCAAACAAATTTAAGTTTTGTAGGATTCAAGATGAATATTCTAAGTCCCGTGCGATTGTCATCGGCAACGATGTTACATTTTTTGATGTCCAAATTTAAATATTTAATTGGGCTTTTTTACATATATTTCAGCTTACCAACCCGTCGACTCCTTATTTTGAGAAAATGAAAAATCTGCAGAAATAAAATAAGCAAATCAAGAAATGCACTTACGAATAATAATATTTTAATTATCACAGCTTTTATTGAAATTGATACGATTATTATCCGACAAAATAACTTTCTCCTTTAGTATTAATCAAACATGTGCATTTAAAAAAACAACAATGTTTTTCACAGTTTTTTCACTTATGAACACTTAAAATGTGTGTAATTCATGTAAGTTTCGGCAACTTCTTTGATGATTCGAATTAAAAAACCAGGGCTACATGTTGGTAAACATCAAAGATTGGCAGATTCTTTTTGAAAAGCCGGCTACACACCTGTCAAAGGTCATCGTGTGTACATTGTATGCGTGTTATTGAACAATGGAAACTTTTAATTTTTTTACGGGTGTTATTTTTCTTTTCACAAATGTGAGCAAGTGTTATTGTGTATTATAGCACTAATTGAGGAATTGAGACAATCAGCGATGAATTTCATTTTCATTTCATTTGAAATCGTAAGTATCATACGCACTTAATTTATCGATAACAGTCATAATTTCTACATAGAAAAAAAAATCAATACAGATTTTTTTTTAAATGTAACATTCAATTAAAAAGGAAGTGAAACAAAATACTACACTTTGTAAAAGGTCGCGAAAAAATGGTTACGTCATATCAGCCAACTAAGAATATAACAACGTTCCGAACATCCGGATGTTTGATTCGGATATCCGGATGGCCGTTTCGGC